GTTCACCTTGTCGCTTATATTTATATGCTTACAAGTAATGAAGAAATATCTAAAATTGAGAAAACATAACTTTAAAAACAAGTTTCTCTAGTCCCTGATGGACAAGCCATTGTTCGACAAACGCCTCGTCTTTCTCGATGAACTCATCCATGGCACTTTCCAAAACACGTGTGTCGAATGCCCAAGGGTCGCCCCGGGGTACGCAAATGCCCAGCCCCCGGGCCACGATAAAATTGCCCCAGATGCCCCATCCCCGGGACTGACAACTTGAGCAAATGCCCCGCGGTTGCCCAGGGGGATGNGGGGGGGGGGGATGGGCACTGCTGGAATTGACTGATGCATTACGAGGGCTTAGCAGGACTATCAACTAGTCCTGCTACTATCAAAACCACTAGATTGGTGGTAAAACTGTCATTAGAAATACAGGATATTACATGCCCGTGCATAGATACAAATTTTATCTTTGAGCGTTCAACTCAATATCTCACGAGTGAGCACAGCAAACGAGTGAGATATCGAGTTGAACATGAGAAGATAAAATTTGTATCCACAAGCAGGAATGTAATATTCTGTTTATTACAAAAACATACTAATGACAACATTTTTAACGATTTTCCGAAGATTTCCAACCACATTTCTGAACATTATCCGATGATTGCCGAAGATGACCGAAGACGATCCGAAGATGTTTCGATCATACATCAACAAATTTAAGTGTAGTTAAAGGGACAAAAGAAAAATGTTATCAAAAAGGAATGATATCTTCACAGTGAAAGATAAAAATAGTATCTTCACTGCGTGCGATTAAGGTATGATTTTTAGTAAAATGAAAAATCCTGGTATTTCACGGGTGTTTATAAAATAAATTTAAATACAAAGTGTCTTAATTCTTAAGTATATGAGATTTGAAAACAATATTGTTGTGTTTATGTTTATAGCAGCTTCTTGTCAATGAAAAACACACAACTTCATTCTTTTGTTGACATTACAAGCCTTGCAAGAACTAGTCCAAAATACTAATTTCTAACTGCAATTTTATCTCTGTAGTGGTTTCTATAGGATATCTTATCCTTGAACTCATTATTGCTTGCCCAAGACCCCTATAAGTGTCTTTTCTTCCCAGGGGGAGTACAAAAAATTACTCCAGATTTCAAGTGACAAGGATGATCAAAGGATTTTTTTGGGTTTGAAGTTTTTGATTTCGGGATTTTTTGGGTAGAAAAATTAATTTTTGGCAAGTATTTTTTTCAGTAGCTTGATTTAAGGAGGAATTTTTGGGGGTATTCAAAACAATCTGAAGATTCTTGATAGTTCCCATATATCCTGGCCATGTACACTGTAGTTCTGCAAATAAAGTAGTGTTAAAGTAAAGTAAAGTATGTTATCGTCATTGTCATTGTCATTGTCATTGTTATTGTTCGCAATTGTTGTTGTTGTCATTGTTATTGTTATTGTTTGTTATTGTTGTTGTTATTGTTATTGTTGTAACAGAAGATGTTCTTGGATGTCTGAAGTGTTGTTACAAAGACCACTGGATGCGGAAAAGGTTCTTACTCCAGATGGTGTGATGAATAAACAAACACAAACATTCCATTACTAATGTTTCTGTTTTTCAGGTTATATCATTTAATGCTTTCTGGAAATCTTTATTGCTTGGAAATTCGGCATGGGATTTTTTGGGGGTTAAATTTTGGTCCAGGGACTTTTAAGGGTTTTGATTTTTGTCCCCATTCGATCATCCCTGTTACTTGAAATCCGGAGAACCCCCCCTGGGCTTTTCTTATACTCTTAAATCACAATTTCTCACTTTTTTGTAAACAAGGTTTTCTCTTCATATCAGGAGGGGTATAATATTATTGTAGAAATTATAAATATCCAGTCCCACTATAACAAAAACTGTTGCAACAGGAATGTTAACACAAAATAATTTTGGTACCAAATGATGATTTTGAATCGCTACATTGAAAACCCATGAAAATTATGTCAAACACTCTAATTTTTTCCTGATGGTGCCAGATATGCTTTAGCACTTTTAACGGGTCAAATTGCTATAGCTAAACCTCTTCACACAAGCAGAGTTTCTTTTTTTTTTTCCCCTTGTTATGTTTTGAAATGGATGAATTGGATCAGGAAGCAAATGACTATTCCTATGAAGAAGGCATTCTCGGACTCTTTCTCTGGTGAGTAGACTCCTGTCTTACTTTTTCACAATTTTTTACCTTGGAATAAGATCCATACATTTAACAGTTTACACTTAATAATGACTTTTTCAATAGGCCTCCCATTCGGCAGGACCATTACTTATTAATAACAAGAAAAAGTTGTAGTTGTAGAGCAAAGCCAACATTTTCTCAGGCCTGATGATTAAAAGTTCATGCACCACTCAGAATACCTTTGGTGACCACAACAGTATGAAGGCCAGTGAGAAAAACTGTTCACTTACCAGGGTTGTCAAATGTAGCCGGGTGTCAATGAAAATCATCATCTACTTCACGATCTGGGCTGGCTACTCCACTGGGCTATTCTTTTCATTCTTTTTTTAGCAAATGTCAGTAAAATCAGCGACCTCCAACAAAAATCCAGTGCAGTTGAAAACATTATCAGTGAAAACCCTGACCAATACCTTTAATTTGGAAACATTGGGTGATATATTGAAAAATAATCTGAACCCTGTCCAGTAGGTACCCGTGAAGCAATGAAAGAAGAGACATTTTGTTACAGAAGAAGTCCGTGATCCTGGCTGACCAGGATGACCTAGCAAGATAAGGTTGTTAAGTTGCCAGGAGCTACTGTGGAAAAGGTACAAGTCTCCACTTAAGTTGTTTCATCTAGTGGAGAACTATGAGTAAAAACGAAGAGGAAGGGACCCCACACACGTACAACTAGATGTATAGACGAGCCTTGTTCTGAAAATGACATTCACTGACAATAAGTTACTCTGATAAAACTTAACTGTTTTGATGACATTTTATTGTTTGTGTGTGAGCTTGTGATGGCTGGTAATGTTGAAATAAAACTCATTGGAGGACTAGTTAGTGAGGTACAGCAGAGAACACATTCTGTAGACTTTCAGAACTGTTCTCATAAATGCATGTATCAAGTGATGAAAAATAACAAATCCTTGAGCCCTCATTGAAGGGTGCTTATGAAGTCTTTTCCGCTTATTATCTGATGATACATGCACAGTTCTATTGGTTATATGTTCTGGTTTCTTTAGTTATTTTGAACATAACCTTTAAGCCCTGGCCAAACAGTTGCAACATTTTCAATGCAGCATATCGTGACATTGTTGGGCATAGCATGTTGCAACTTTTGTGGATGTCGCTTGATGTTGTAGGCATTTGGCCAGGTTCATTCAACAAAGTTGCACTTGGGCATGTGCACAAGTTCAATTTTCAATACCCAACATGTCACAAAAGGGTGGCCAAACACATGCAACATGTTGTGCCCAACAATGTCGCGATATGTTGCGTTGAAATTTTGTGACCATTTGGCCAGGGCTTACAAATGCTGGGACAACAATGTGTTGAAATGTTGCAATGGTTTGGCTGGGGCTCTAGTATTCCTCTCTTTTTATATAATTATGTCTGTTGTTGTGACATTATTTTGGCAATAACACATGACTTAAAAGTATTGAGAAATCATTTATTTGTTGCGCCAATAGCATCCCAGAACTAAAATCTATTGTGTTTGAGTTGAAAGATTGTAGGTACTGTATATAGTAACTCAGTCAGCTGGGATCTCATGTTCTATACTGTATAGTTACTAAAACCTTAGCTTAACTGTTGTTATTCACTTTGCTCTCAGTATTTTAGCGGGTGCTCATAAAGCAGTGAAAAAGGATGAGACTTTTGTGGTAATGAAAATTGAAGACCCTGCCTGACCAGGATAAACCAAGAAGATTGTAGATAAAGGTACAATTCCAATAGTTATTGTGAAAAAGGTACAAATATTTAATACTTTTTTTAAATATTTCCAGTGGGTAAATTGAGCTGTTCACCCAAGCAAGCTTAAGTCACTAGAGGTAGACCTCTCCCCATCTTCTTTGCCTGTCTCCAATCTTGCAAGACCGACCTCTAAACCTGTCCTAAAACTTCATGACACATAGCAGGATCAGCAATGAAACTGGCCCCCTCCAAAAAAAGCAAAACAAAACAGATAAAACTGTCTACTAAAGTAGATAGATCCCTAGGGCTGTACATGTACTTGTTATGTCGCATGTATCAAGTGATGAAAAATTCAAATCTTGAGCCCATATCAAAGGGTCCTCGTGAAGTTTTTTCTGCTTATTTTCTGATGGTATGTGCACAATTCTGGCAACATAATCATTAAACAAACCCACACATTACTCAACTTCCTTTCTAAACTAATTTGACATCCATGATTTCTGATTTTACAAATATTATTCCACAGTTCTTCCATTCCAAGTGCTCACATGCGAGGAGAAACCCTCAATGAAAAGGAAGTATTCCTGAGAAAGGAGATATCTACCAGTGTGCTACAATGTATATCCGTCACGTCGTAGGAGTTTGCTCTGCACTGGCTACTGAGATACAACAATGTAATTGCAGAATGATCAAGTACTGCTTGACTTAAGAACAACTCTTGTTTGCAACTGTTGTAATTTGACCAGTAATAAAGAAAATTTATATTTCTGAAACTTTTCACTGTTCGTGTTTATTTTGTTAAATATAAGATTTAGTTGTGCATAAATCAGCAAAACTAAGGATAAAAACTGACATTTCGGTATCTTCATCACACCGTTATCAAGGTAATGAAGAATAATAAGTACAAATTCTGCAAGTCAATGAAGGTGTGAAAACGAATTTGCATATAGAGTGTGAAGGAAAATTATACAAATACTTTTGCAAAAATTGAGTTACTTTGCATGTTCAGAGTTTCAACTCTCTGATGAAAAGCATCTGGTGCCCCTCCCAATCTGTAAGGGGAAAGCCCTGGGAACAAGGTTGAGAGGCAAAGGGAAACTGTTAAAGGGCCCTAGTTAGCCACACCTTTGTTTTTGTTTGCATGCGAGCCTTTGGCTATTATATTTTATTCGGAGCATGTCAAAATGAAGGAAACCACTGCAAAACTGCAAAAGATATGAAAACATACTTTAAGGAACACAACTTACAGTAAAGTTATCAGATTTCTCGTCACCATGCAACATCAATTTCGATGGCCTCGAAAATGCTGGAGGCTGGCCTATTTCGCCTGTATTATGCAGCACACCCAGCATATACACAGGACACCAACACAAAATTAAGATGCCTTCTCCCTTTGCTCAAATGCCTAAGTGGTTCCAGTTGCTGATATTGCCTCGGTAAGAATTTTAGTCCACCTACGGTGCGATAACTTATCCAAAAGCTTTGAGAAGCTTATTCTCATCTCTTCTTCTTTTATTTAAAGCCAGCGACGCATTGTTTCAAACAAATGGATCGCATACTTGCCCAACTTGGAAGTTCGGACTAAACAGGTAGCCACATGTACACGTTGTGTGCCTTTTGTTGGACCACAGTGAAAACAAAATAAGTGAAAATAAATATATCGAAGGTTTTGTGTTCTATAGAATGGTTTGGGGATTTTGTTTTGTTTTTTTTTTTCGGAAAAGTACACCCACCACCTATAGATTGATCAGTACCCGGGGCGTTGTCTGCGAGGAGCGTAACAGCCAGAAACGTCCTGTAAACGGTCCACTTTTCTTCTGGCCCCAGTTGTTTAAAGGTTGGGTAACGCTATCCACCGGATAAATCACTATCCCGTGGATAAGTGTTAACAAAACAAACAATGCTATCTGCTATTTAGGGATTTATCCGATGGATAGCGTTACCCACCTCTCGAACAACCCAGGTTAGAAAATCCCCACGTTCTACGTCATTTTGTAGTCGGACACAGCATTGTCATTCAAATGAACAAATGGCAGAACTTTTGTGTCTTCGTAAAAGATGAAGAACCTTTGGCGATTCAGGTGAAAAGTTTTACAATGATAGAAATGAAAAAATTAAGAGAATCTGGCGGGGAAAATGCCGACGTACATAAACAGGAAACTCTGCCATTCCTAGTGGTCGGCACATTAAACAAATTTACTTGGGATCTCCGTTTGGTAAACACCAAAGGCAGTAAACTAATACCGTGGATTGAAATCATGGTCAACATGTTTGAAAATAATGATAATAAAAATTTTAATTGCAACCGTAACAGCACGAGATGTTAAATTCTCTGAAGCAGTTGAAACTACGAGAAATAGCGACTGTTCGTGTATATAGATACGCCACTTTTTCATCGCTTTGTTTTGGTTTTGCATTTACATTAACGGAGGGATAACAGAGCAATTTGGCGCCAAACTGGTTGGGTTTGACAATCATTATTCCCAATTTCCGAACTAATCTTGACTAACTAATCTATTCGCCTCTGTACATAGCCTGTAAACTCTTCGACGCATCCTTTAAATAATACAAGAAAAAACCAATAGTAAACGATCTTTTTATCAAAGATCTCAGCATTATCATATACAACTTGGAACAGGTGAATCTTTAACTTAAGTTGTCCACCTGTTTTAAACTCTTTCACGGTGAGATCCAGTACTATCCCTTGCTAAAAACAATGACAACCACATCTCAGAAATAATTTATGAACAAGAGCTTAGACTGAAAAGAGCAACGTTTTATTTCATCAAAGCAATTACAAGTAAACCGCTAACAGGCGGACGACAGCGCGGCGACATCAAATGTAAACATGTAATGAATGGAAATGAAGCAAGCGTTCCTAAACCCTTTTTCATAATTTATCAGTATGACGCATGTGTTTCAACATGTTTTGGGAGTGTTAGTGGAGAAAACCTGGTAGTATAACTTAGTTAAATAACAGGTACTCTTGTTAAAATTTAATCAAGTCGTCGACAGCGTACTCTGTAAACTGTTGATGACTGCAGTGTTTTCTAAGTTTCAACACGCTTGTTTGCAAAATTTTTGAAAATATTATTTACTAGCTAGTAAAACTGCCGGACAGTGAAGTGTTCAAAAGAAATACTTGTGACGGATTGTAATGTACTTATCTCAAAACGAGTGAAAAAGCAAGTTTTCAGTATGGTTCAATGGGCATTTACCAAAGAGCAGGTCCCCGCGGTAAGCTATTAAACCGCTCATGTAATGAGTGTTAATTGCCTTGAAAATTTGAAAAGGCAAAGTTTGCCAGTGTTGTAATGTCAACGGCACCACAAACGTCAAATAAGGACAGATAAAGGCAGTCATAAGGACACATAAAGGCAGTCGCAATTTCTTAATTTACTTTTGCCTTGCCTCTCTACGTGTACTTAAATATTTTGCGTGTTTAATTATTGTTTACCGTTACCCAACGCGTTGGACATGGTTGTTTTGAAAAACATTTTAATTGCGGTTTGTGGAGGCCATTAATGTTACCTGGGGCATTAACACGACGACACGTAAACTTAAGGAGTATACTGCGTTAACTGAATGGGTCCAAAATTCAGTAAAACAAAGTTGAAGTCGCTTTACTAATTGAAGTAGGTAAAACAAAAATACTTTAAAAACTGCCTTACAACGAAAGAAAGAAACCATTTCAGAACGTTTCAACAATGCTATAACAAATGGGGAAGAATTTACACGCTAACGTTAAATTACTAACGCCCGCGAAGGCAGATGGCATTAAAATGGTTTTTTAAAACAATGCTGTAAAGAGTGAAAATTAAACTGTTGCAAATGGCAATTATACCACACCGAATCTTGTTAAGAGAAGAAAGGATCAACAAACTAGTTAAGAAATAGAAACCGTTATGTATTTACTTAGCAACATATGCAAACATAAGTATAAGTAGCTGAATTACCAATGAGATATGAGTTATGAGTTATGATATGAGCAGAAAACAAAGTAGGCATATGTTCTTGTGAAGAACTGGAGATAACGATGAAAACCGCCAACTATCTTGATTCAATATTTGTAGACAAAATTCTACATGAGAAAAAAATCGTATGATGTTGCAAATTCGTGAAAATGAGGTTAAAAAAAAAAAACATAGAAGACGCTTTTTAAATTCAAACTTCCTTGGTCCATGGCCATAAGATAATTACTACACGCCTGTAAAGCGAGAAAATGGCGAGTTCACCTCTCTGACAGAACCAAAAAAAAGTAACACCAGCAATAACCGCTAGATTTTATCTCTGACACTTATAAATATTGCCGTCTTTCTGTCAACAACTCGAAGAATTAAAACAAAAACTGTCAAACTGGTGGTATTATAATTAACTTTTGAAACGTGACATCTCCCGTTACTAGCAAAGCTGAAAATATATATGTTTAAAAAAAAAGGTTTGTGCATAAGCGCCACACGAGGGTTTCAATAGGGTTAACCCGCCAAACGGCCCAAAAAGTAACTGTCAAATAATAATGCTGCGAAACAACAAGCAAGGACTGAGTAAAACCTACGTTAAATTTAGGCTTTACGTTTTCTCTTGCTTATCTTCCATTGAAGTCTTTTTAATAAACTTTTCTAGCTGATGCAAACACTGTTTAGTCACGAAGCATGACCTCAGCGATACCGGTGCAGTGCTCAACCAACTCAACTATCAAGCCAACTGGGAGCTAGGCACTTTGTAAGTTTAGTCATGTTAGAAACACTAAGAAGGCGACCTTAAAACATCCTAATCCTTTTAACCTGAGTAGCGATCGAATTCTGTTTTCTTCGCACCGTTCTACAACACATTTAAGCAGTGGGACATGAGAAAGAGGGAGCTGATCATCCCTAGAAAATAGCATTGATTAACAACTAAATACATCAAGTAGAAATGAAAGAAAATCTATAGGTACAGTTGAGAGAATTTAAATGCTAAACGTAGGACGTAAAGGGTTAACTGTATAAAACTTAAAGGGCGTCGACGTTGTCTTGCTTGACTTCTTCTGTAAATTCTTGGTTCTGTTAAGCACAAATCCTAGAAGAAGAAGGGAACAAATCAGTTTAACACATGCTTCAAAGGAGTGAAGAAAGACCTAAAGTGGACAGGGACCTAGAAATAAATGACTCTACATAATACATATAGGATAATTTTATATTCAAAACAAGTGAGCATTGGCTGGTTTGCAGAGTGTGATCAATGGAATAGCTGCAGTTGGAATAAATAAGACTCAGGCGAACACTTGATAGGTTCTATAACTGAAATCGCTCTATCCCGGGCCAGATTAAATATCATTCGACACAAAACCAACTTCCAAGACAGAAACCAGAGTCTAGAGTCGTGTAAAGAGGCCCCGAGAGGGACTTCTGTGTGAACGATACAATCAAGTAATTCTAGCGATCGCCACGAAGCCATGATTTAACCAGGTTAAAGATACGAGAAAACCTGGTACGAACTGGAAAATTAATTTTTTTAAGGGTCATTCTAGCGACCAGAAACGGTAACACTCCTAATGGGAAAAAATCAGCTTGCCATACAAAAGAAACCGAGAAATACAATAGGAATGGTATACGGCTGACCGCTTAGGAGAGACGGCCTATAGGCCCTGTAGAAACAACAACGCTATGTGCATAGGACTCCACAATGAAACTCATATCAAGGAAATAAATTAACATGCTTAATCTCAATAGTGTAAGAACTACACGCCGATGAAAAACAAAGAAACAACGACACAAGGTACTATATAATAATGGCAATCACATAAATTAAACTACAACAGCTCACTGGCAATGACTGTGAGAACACAACTTGGCAACCACGGTCAAGCACAAAACTAACACGGGATGACAATTCATGACAAAACACCCAATGAACCATGGGTGGAACTAAATCAATTGAGCTTCTATGCCACTCAATATTCAGCAAAATATTTTCTAAGGTACCCGTAAGCTTACAGGCTTTAAATATTCCACAAACCTACTTTTACTGAAGTTATTTTACATCATTTTCTCCGTGTCAAACACGGCTGTATTCAACGCCATGTTCGCGCGCTTTTCGAGTCAAAATTAATGCCTAGGAAAATTGTTTTAAGCACCCATGGCAGGGTTTATTCAAGTTAAAATAAGTTATAAAATTAGGAAATCTTCGCAGACGTTTAGGTCTAAGAAAACCTTGATTTTCAAATCGCAGGACTGGAGCCCACTGCATGACCCTTATGCATATCATTTTCGGTCCTAACTATCTATTTTCTATTTTACAGTGTATAAAAAAAGATTGTAGATGCCCTAGACTTGTTGAAATGGGAGTTGGTCGACGAATTCAGTGAGGAACCTTGAACCAAGGCGAGGAGACGACTAAAAAGATGGAAGAAATAACAAGTGAATTTACGAGACCCAAGAATTTCAGCCGAAATCTCCCAGAAAAACTTGTTACATAGTCCAAATGATATGCAATAAACTGAGTATAATTTTCAGTACGAACTCGGTGATAATTTGTTTTCCTAACCCTGTAAATCGCTGTAGTCTTGTTAATGTTTCTGCATCTTAGTGGACACATAAAAATGATTTGGTGCAAAAATTTGTTAACCGCCATTCTTGTTCACACCCTAACCTCGAGGCCTTAAGCTTAAAGTCAATCAGTTCTCAGCGATGTCTCTTTTGACGGAAGTAGGAAAACGATTTTTTTTTTTTCGCTTAAAATTCAGGCGAAAACATTTTCACTTTCAAAATTGTGGGTTAAAAATATTCCAGTAAGTTCGTCACATCTTAAAATACCTTTGTGCCGCTACATGCGTGATCTTTTAAAGTACGTTGTCAAATTTACTAAAACGGTAAATTAAATTGCACCGCCAAGGAGGTTTGAAATAATTTAAAGACAGAAAAATTGATATACAAACAAAGAATAAGATTTTTAATTCTACGCGCTTTCTAGTCTTTTATTTGGCTTGTTTTCAGCTCCAGAACAAGCGAAGGAAAATGTTGCTTTAAGAACTTCAATTCTGTATTCAAATGACTGTTTATGTGAAATGATAGCGACTTAAAATGATATCTCTTCCCCCTGAAAATACAATAATTACTTCGGCTGGGCGGGCTGGAAAACAAGAAGCCGTAATTACTACTAAGAGATAATTCTGGTGTCTAGAATAGCCTCTAAACAGGCATAATTTGAAAGGAAAATTAAAATCTACGGCGGCATCATTTGCGCGATAACAATAACAATAACTCTCATCGACACGGCGAAATAAAACATATTTTAAAGCTAAACATGGGTTTTAAGGTGGCTCTCGCATTTTCGGAGGAAATATCCATGCAAGCTAAACAAACATTTAGTAATTTCACTGCTAAAAGTTAATTTCCATAATCTCAAATATTAGCTCGAAAAGCAGAACACTGGAGGATTTTAGCACGTTTTTTGATAAGCTTATGTTATATCCTGACGTGCATCACTACGGAAACTAAACAAGACCTTGGCAATGTTGTTCCTGATTGTCCGAGGTCTCCGTTATTCAAGGTGAAAAACAGGAATATTAATGAATGTACTCGGAGATATATCGCTAACAGACCACTATCGCAGTTTATACGTCCTGGTTTTGATCCCAGCGATGTGATAAAACTGATATCCTTAGGGATGCAAATAATTCTCTGACTTAATTGTGTACCAGACTTTTGAAACAGTTTTTCAGATTAAATCGAAACCTCTGAAAGACACAAAGCAAAGTGCTTTCAAGTTCTAGTTTCGATCTGAGCAGTAGATACACAATGGTTTTTTCTTCTGTTGTGGTTTAAACCTGTCTCGAAAAGTGAAGTTTCCAACATGGGCAAATAAAACGGTTTGTGATGCGTTCGTGGCGAAAGTCCTTTGTTCGTCCAAACAAAGGATTTACAAAAGAATAAAGAAGACTTTAAATCACACTCTTTCGAGTTTGACATTTAGCATAATAAAAGTGAGTTAGTAAAGGACAAGAACAACTATAAGGCAGTAGTCAGGATGTCAAGAGAAAAGCAAACGAATTAAACACTGCCTGTATTGTTTGTATTTTTCTCTCCAAATAACTATCAAAGCTCTCACTACATCACTCATAAAACAACGAACTATGAACCTTTACGTGACAAGTATACGAATTTTGTTACAAGATATTCAAACACGAGTTTATAACATAACATGCAATTCGCAAAATACGTTAAATTTCAGAAAAACGAAAGAGATATTAGAGTCTGTTATCAGCAATTAATTTTGCTGGAATTAGGCCAACATTGCCAAGAAATAAAATCCGTCCACGATCAATTTTGAAGCTATCAAAAATACATATAAGAAAATTAAAATCATACACAAAAATGTCACAATGTGACAGTTTTAATTTCTTAAAAAGAAATTTATTTGTTTTTAAGTTTACAAGCTCTTTGTCGTGTGGGCGACCTAATTCAAAACTCGACAAAATAGCTTCACAAGCCATGGACGGAGAAATAATTTCAATATTATATCATTCTATGCCTTTCTGCTGTTTACCTTTAAATTCAGGCTACAGAACACCTTACTTATTAAGCGAGAAGTTTGAACTATAAACTAAAACACTTTACTTTCATGCTTCCATTAAAACTGATGGCAGCTACCATTTTTTCTTCACTCCAACGCAATCAAACCACAACAACTTCTCTTTAAAAAAAGAAATAAAGAAGGAAACATAAACAATCTTAATCTTGCATGATTTTTGCTACCTCATAGCGAGTTTTGCATTTCATGCTGTGAAGCAATTTCACGACAGGAATCTTTCTATAAGCGTAGAAGACAAACATAATTTAATAGTCGTATTATTTTCGAGATGACTTTGTTTCCCAGAGGAAGTGTACAATATGACAACTTTATTATTACTGATTATGACACACGCACGGCCGCAACTGCTGTCTGCTCTTCCAAATTCACACTTGCCTGAATTATTCAAAGTTTGCATTATTCCAAGTTATAACTGCTGTACTAACAGTTTTTCTTTGACTTAACGACCTTAAAAGGAGAATTAAATAAATACCAGTTGGCACAAATTTTCTGAAATGTTTCCCAAAGTAAACCGACAAATTTTAGGGAATATTCGATTTTATACTTAACATCAGAAGTCTGCTGATTTTGTAAACGGCACTAAGGTATTGATTTTCGTTCCCAATTACATGGTCAAAGTCTCATTTTCTTACAAAACGTAACTGAACAATGAGGTTCTTTAAAAAGCATAGCCAAGTGATAAAGGGTGGCAGACTTGGACTCGAACATATGAAATCAAGTAAAGTTTAACACATACAGCTAAACACACAAATACGTGTAATATTTAATGAGATCGTAGACAGAAAGACTCTAACGAAGCGTTTTACCTCGCCTACTCAGAAATACACAAACACACCTGCTATTTACAAAAATGAACGCGTCTTAATTTCTGAGCAACACGAAAACCTTTCCCAAACTCTCTCTACTCCCCTGAACTCTAGCTCTAGCAAGCAAAAAAGAGCAATCTAGCCTCCATATGAGCACGAGCGAATTTTAAAAAAGTTTCTAGTGAGGAGTAAAACTTAAATTGGTCCAACAACCCTACAATTTTATGTTTCAAACTACGCCGTACAACAACTGAAACACGAAAACGTTTTCCTAGCTCTACTTTCTTAACTCTAGCAAGCAATAAAGAGCAATTAAGCCTCCACATGAACGAATTTTTCAAACGTTTCTAGTGAGGAGCAAAACTTAAATTGATTGCACAAGTCTACAAATTCATAATATTTCAAAATATCTACACCAGTTGAAACACGAACTTTACTCGTATTAACTCTAGCAAGCAATGAAGAGTAACTTAGCCTCCACACGAACGCAAGCGAATTTTAGAAAAGTTTCTAGAGAGGAGTCAAACGTAGATTGATCATCCCACAAGCCTACAATTTCTTAAAGTTACAAAATAGCTACAACAATTGAAACAGAACTTCGGCAGTTCTGGCGTTTGCATGCATATGACTACGTACACATGAAATACAATATACACAGATTTGACGAAATTACTAGTAATAGAAGACGTGGGTATAAATTTCTGTTTTAAAGTAAACAGAAAATTAGTGTTGCGTGTTGCCTTACTAGTACAATGTACGACTGGGCTAAGACGCTTCTTGAGTTTCGAAACCCAAAAGCAAAAGTGCATTTAAGACATGAAAACATGGCCGGCTTCGAATACTCTTCCACGGCATTAAAAATAAACCGTGAATCAAACGGGTACAATTGCGGCAGAAGGTTAGTATTCTTACTGAACAAATCAAGGTTTAAGCCCGAGAGTTTTTAGCTATCATTTCTCGTTGAGTTTTGTAGAGCAAAGACATGTTAGCGAGTACTTACAACAAAATGGCAGCTTGGCGCTCGACAGGAGTTCTTTCATTCAGGGAAACCAAAATGATCACAACATTTGCTTAAAGTTGTACATATATTGGAATAAACTTATTAATCAACATTCTGTCATAACTTTCAAATTTTGCACTTCTTCTGCAATGGAAATTCGTGTCATTTTGCATATAGGTTTGGGTTACGAATAATTGGTTTGTGGTCGGTGAAATATTCAGATCTCGTTTGCTTGGCGATGCTAATACTAAATTAAAATGCAGCTTAAATCTTAGCTAGACGGTACGCATTTTCGCTCAACAGGTCTTCGGTCATTATCAAAAGATGCTTTTATTCCTCAGAAAATCCCTGGATTAAGCAATAAGGAACAGCCTTTTCTTTGAGTAAACAAAATCACCAACAAAAGAATCGGGACAACTCTTGGAACAATAATACGAGAGAATCTGTTAACGAAAGCCTCTTTTGTTTCATGGTTTAGCAACTAAAAACCTCCGTAACAGAGCTTTTAAAGTCATTTCTTCAATCGAGCTGGCTACTTAGTGGCCTTTGTTCCGACTTCTGGCTCCCTTTACTTAATTGAATCTTGTATTTTGGGGGCTAGAGGAAATAACAAAAAAAAAAAACAATTAATTTTTACATGGTCCGTCATATGTTAAACACCTTGCGTGCATTTTTTTGGCCGCAATTATTATCTTTTAAAAGCACTTCAATTTCATATTGGCATACGACTCTGTCCGAGGTCAACTTCAGTGCCAACTACAAACATCATTTCGCTTCACTTTGTTCGCCCTATGCCGTTGTCCGCAAAATAACAATCACATAAACCGACCATAAAATAGGACCCAGCCAATGAAAGCAGTGTCATTTTTAATCGAAACCAACCATAAGCTCGCCTTGCTTAATTCTTTAGCATACGCATTAAATTTGAGAACACTGCTCATCCGCGCTATTTACTCAGCTCACACAAGCAAAATACACTTTAAAAGCCATTGTCTATCAAGGAATGCTTTGCTGAAGAAAGCAAACATTGATTGCACTCCTTCGCACGAGAGAAAAACAACATCGTATTCTGGCGGAGAAAATCGCATGAGACGCAGATGTTTGACCGACGTCTTTCGTCCAAAAGATCGACTCATTTTAGCCAGTGCTTATTTTAATTTAAGGGGGAAAGCAATTGGAATTACACAATGTGGAATCACCTACTGCTGTTTCAAGAACAAATATCAATTATGAGTCGCCAAGAAAACAGAGAAAACAACTATATTTAATTCTGGTGAAAAGCGACATGAACAGTCCAAAGTTCTTTTATGCGCTGTACAGGCGGGAAATGTCTTTCCTTTCAACGCAGTGGGAAGCAAAATTTTGCTTCGTTCAAACATAGTAGGGAACCATTAAAAACCTTTCTCAAGGAAGCACTTTCAAAAGCGAATTCGCAGGAAACCTATTGTTTAAGGACATAAAAGCTTCTTCCTAAATGCCTCCAGGGCAAACGAAATTGCCATAAACAAAGTCGAAAGTCGCTTTCGCAAATATCATCACCGTTTAGGTCTTATGACTTCAGGAAATTAACTGATTAATTCTCTGTGAAGTCTCTGGTTTGCGGTTTCTTTCTGGCCTTTCTCTCGAGCGCTAAACATGACAACATGAGCCAAGACTCATCTCAAAATTACGACAAGTTTCGAGATTGTCACTCGCTTGCGAAATGCTCTAATGCCAGGCGAACAAATTAATTTTGCACGAAGCCAAATAATCGCCAAAAAATGGGCTTCCGCCTTTATGGAAAACTAACATGGATCAAGAAAGAGAAAAAGCTATTTGCTTACTTAATCAGACCTTTCCATAAGGAGTACATTTTTAATTTCGGAAGGCCTTTACGTGCCTTTCTGGAGTAAAGTAATTAAAAACACTGACATGCGCATTGCAAAGAACAATCGAGCCGACATCTTGAAAACACTCTGCGCCGAATTAAAGTTATTTTAAACCAAAATAAAGGTGGACAATGTCCTTTTTTCGAAGCTCGTGAATCAAAAACCACGCTGTCATAATAACAAACACAATGTCGCCATTCTGCACAAGCACCAACAAGATATAGATATATTTCCCCGGGGCATACGTCGAATATTTCAATTATTTCCATCAACAAAAGGTCTTGTTCGCACTGTATACATATGGGACACGTAAAAAGTTCAATGTCGCGCGTATTTTCCAAGTTTACTCGTAATACTCTTAAAACACTTGACTAAGGTCGCTCGGTGAAAAAAAAAAATCTAATCACTTTTCAGTAAAATTGATCGACATGTGTGGTTTGTACTTACACGTGTATGGTCATCACGCCCAAACGTTTTTGGGCCATCGACCTGTCAACACATTCTAGAACAAATAGCTCGGAGAGCAATTTTCTAAATGCCTTCGTTTCCCTGACATCTCACTTCCTTAGCGGGCAATATTCGCGCGAATCGTGCGGGAACAACTTAAGATTAGAGGGGAAAAAAGCGAGATAGAAGTCTCGCTAATTCGTATCAAACCCATCGGCCGAATGTCTGATATTTCAGACGCTTTCAATACCTTTTGTGCGATTGATTGCTAATGTTATGAACAGGAATAGAGCTTTACCTTCATAAACTTGCTACTGGCGTCGGCATTTTCTCGAGAAATAACATCCGCACAGAAATGCGCGCGTAATGTAACAACGACAGCACGCGAATTCGCTCGTCCCTTCGCGCTGAATTAGCTTAAGAGTCATGATATAGCGAATTCATAAATATGTTAACGCAGTAAAATATTCATCTTATTACCATAATACAGAAGCAGGGCAAAAGGAAGATTCTGCATTTTCTCTCCACAAAACTGCATACACTTTGCGAGCATCCGAAGTCACTTTTCCTTGCCTGAACTGAAATAACTTCAAAACAAAGGAAGCCGCCCGCCTTTCTCATGACCACTTCACTATGGCGCCATAAGTCGAATTGCTTTTGGCAATTCAAAAAGTTATTTAGTATTTGTCAATGAAGGAAGCAGTCGGAATGAATTTTAATTCCGCTTCGGAAAGAATTACATCCGAGTAACAAGGGACAAAGTATTTTCACGAGTTGGCCAAGTCATACTGTGATAGGACTTTTAGAAACAGCCTTGTTTGCCAAGCTAATTAGTTGTCCTATTGCGAATTCTTTTCGCCATCGTTCGTTGATAAGGCAAGCATTTTACTAAGAAAATGGCAAAAAGAGCTTAAAGGAGTATCTACTGTTAATATCTGACATAAACACAGCAGAATGAACTAAAGAAAATAATTCATTGGCAAACGAGATAACACTTCGAATCAGTTCGATGTGAATTGCCCATATTTCAAAGGCTCACAACAGGCAATGCTCGTTAAGCGAAAGTCACTTTTCAAAGTTCAACAAACGTTTCGATTTTGACCGCCTAAAACTCATGAATATATTCTTCAATTATGGAAAACAGTTCCAATTTACAATCGTGTTTAACGTACTACGAGAAATGATGCAACATACTTCAAATGTCAGATATTGTTTGAACTAAAATAAAAGCAGTCCAACCTTCCGTTGTGAGTGAGCGCGAGCGGCCGAACCCACCAAGCCTTTAGACCTAAAAACGGTGTAACTTGAGAGCATGCTAAAAAACGCTGGGCTGGAAAAAGTATACAATCAAGCGAAAAGAAAAATGAGGCTATTTTAAAACCGACTTCTGTATTTTGGGACTCTTATTGTATTTGTAATCATTCTGTGTTTTGGTACATGTGGTCTTCGACTGCAACTTCACCGACAAGATTCAAAATAACACAACACGACGAAGGCGACGGCAATTTGAAATCGTACAGGTTCTCGGCTGAGCATTTTCAACCATATTTTGTAAAATACATAACTATAGTTTATTTTTTATCCCGAACATTTAACTGCAGTGTAGTTTTCGAGAGAGGAAAACTTATCCAAATCGATCTGCACGGCGGGTACTCGACATAACCTGAAAACATGTTCGTCTCGACTGACCATGTTGAACATGGCAGAAACGAACGGCTTAGACAACCACATGGCCAGAGTGAAACGTTTAACAGCGATAATTCAAAGGAAAACACCTTGGTTTTCAAACCAGATAGCAAGAGAATTTCTCACAATGGAACAAGTAAACATGCATCGAATAAATTCTCTGTTTCGACTGCATCGAAAAACATCTAGGCGGTTGAAAACTTACGGCTTACAAGGGCGTAACTCGAAGCACACACACGCTGAAGGTTGGCGAGCATTTTCAGTCCGTTCGCTTCCAAACGAAGATTCGCCACACGGGCGAGCATATTCCTGTCTTTACAAATTCAAGAAACACAGTACCTTTAATGTATGGGAGAATTTAAATAAGAAATTGTTTCCATTTGCATATATCATCCGTGTTATGAATGGACTTCTTTTGCTATGCATCCACGGCTCACTTTCTGTGAACTTGGAATTGCGTCGAGGAAGGACAGCGCTAAAACGGGAATTGAAACACTGAAAGATCGCAGCAACAGAACTTGAAGCAAAGCACTCGAAATATCGAAGTCAACAGTTAAAAGAACAGCGAAAACTATGCGCAAAAGCGTCGAGAGTAGAGCCGAAAGCAAAGCAGCAGACGATGATGTAAACTGAAAACGTTTTAATAACTTATCTGAGGGTACAGTATGATAGCTTGAAAGCATGCATGGTTAACATAGAAAAGTATGATAAATATATGATTCACATTGCAAGAAAACAACTCTAAATAATGATTTCGCAGCCCAGAATACGAGCATATAAGCCTGTTGATGGGTCGACAATTTACGAGCGTCCTTCTAATATTTACATACGATCTTTCGGAGAAAACCCAAAAACTTGGGCCCTAAAGCAATGTCAAACACAGCAGAAACATTCGTGGTAAAAGAAACTACAAGTCCTGGTTACTTTTTCCCTGGAATTCCTCTGAACTTAATGCAAAATATTCTAGCTTTCAAAGTAAGTATTTACATACAATCATGCCCATACCATTAGAATACCTTTTTGCATATCCTACGAGAGGCGGTCGACTTGAAAATCGAAATCTTTAGAGCGCTTACGCGAGCTGAAATTAGACTATTTCACATTCAGCTTCTGTTCCGAGAAGGCGCACGAAAATGACATAAGAGTAAATCGAGTTTACACGCCTGTCCGTACGTTTAGTTCCTTGTTCATTCGCGTGATAGAAAAATACATTGGCCACTATTCATCGGAGTACTGTAGAATACATACAAAGTTTTATTGCGGGCCTGTGATGTGACCGCCAACAATGTGCGGAGAAGAGACGTGTGGAGACGATACGTGAGGAGATGAAACATGAGGCGATCCAACATGTTGGTCGTCGGCTCCTCCAGTAACTGAAGCAGTCATTCGCTTTTCTTTCTGCCTTCTGTTACAGAACCACACTCGAACGACCTCTTTATCGAGCCCTAGGTTTTCTGCGAGCGTGCCGATTTCTTGCGCAGACGGTTTGGGATTTTTACAGAAGTGGTTCTCCAATGCACCCTTGACAGCCACCTCGATCGACGTTCTCTTCTTACGCTTCCGTCCCTGAGTCGCCAACTTGTCGATGCCGCTTGCTGCACCGTTGTTGTTATCAGCCTCCTCGAGCCACTTGGCGAGTAGGGGCTTGAGCTTACACATATTCTTAAAACTCAGTTGCAGAGCCTCGAAACGGCAAATGGTGGTTTGGCTAAACACGTTCCCGTACAGTGTCCCCAGCGCAAGGCCTACGTCCGCTTGCGTAAAGCCGAGCTTGATTCTACGCTGTTTGAACTCTTTGGCAAACTGTTCCAAGTCGTCTGAGGTAGGAGTGTCGTCTTGTGTTTCTAACTCTGGGTGAGCTACATGCGTCGCGTCTTGGCCGTTCGGATTTTCTCGAATCGTTTGCGGCGCCTGCGGGAATGCTCCTTGTAGCTGAACAGCTCCGTTTATCGAGGCGTACGATGGATGAGTCGCAGACACCGCTTGCATCGCGCCGCTGATGTGGATGCGAGTGTGATCGGGCGAGTGAGCCCCATGCGACGCAGCGCTGGGCCAACGTGCTTGGTCTAAAGGCATAACTGTGTGACCGCCAGGTCGATGATGGACGAGTGTTGCACCGGCAATCGTTGTTATTACCGGCGAGGTATCCTCTCTTAAGATTGGTTTAACTTCTTGTAAACTCACAGTGTTCGCTGGCCAACCAACAGCTCCTGTATGGTCTTGCACTACCCACTGGTGAGTAGCAAGGTGATTATTTCCTACTCGTTGGTCGTTCAGCGAAGCTACGCTGGCTGGAGTAAGATTCTCGTACTTTACAACAGTGTGTTCATTTTCTCGCACGTAAGCCATGGTGGTCGGGTGATTTTGAATGACTCGAGTTTCACTCTGCGTGGAGGCCGACCCGACCTGATTTGTGTATGGGTTCGTTTGCGCTTCCATTGTAACGAGCTTGGTTTAACTTGCGTTCAGCTAAACTCGGCTTTTTTGCCGCCAGCCTCATGAACGTGTCCAAAGATCTGTTGATTTCCTGGGAGCCCATTGGACAGCTCTGTGGTGAGTGACATTCTATTATTACTTAATTAATCATGATTCATAACCGCGCGCTTTGCCATTGGCTCAGTGAGCACGAGCGAAACGGTCGTCAATAGCTACAATTCGGCGTGAAGAATATGCTAATTGTTATCAAGACGTTGTTTTTCATTGGATCGCTCCTCAATCCGCTCTTTTGTTCGCCTCGAAACCTCATTACCACAATTGCAAATGAGCTGAAAGCGTTTACAAAATATAATCACGCTGGGACAATGAAATATGCCTGCGTGTGTTCTAATATTAGAGCCTTTTGTTCCACTGGAACTGTGGAGGGCGGGAGAGCCTGAGGGGTGTCATCAATTCGTCGACAGATTGATATCCAAAGTGCCAAAGATCTTTCAGCCTTTGTTTTTTATTCCGCTGTTGACAGCTTAATTTCGAGAGGTTTAACAATCAGGTCGACTTCGGAAAGGTGAAGAAGATGTTTAGCCATATGTGAAACACGCAGCTTAAAATTTTAACACTTCCGTAACGTGGCCGCGCTGTCAGCGCCTCACTTTGCGGTTAGTTTTATTTATTAACCGTAAATGCTTTTTCGCTTCGATCGAGACAAGAGCCGTTTAGCGAGTGCGCGGCTAGAAAGCTAATATAACCACCAGCTGTTCTGGAAGGCAGGGCACTGATCAAAATAGCTAACCCAAAATCTTGATAGTGAGAGCCTTTTCCTTTTCTGCGCGCCACAAAAAGATGGCCCCTTGTTCAACCAGCTCATGAAAAATTTAAGTTTTTTCGCGCGCGAGAAGTATTGCTAAAACAAACATTAGCGAGCGTGGGATTGGAATGGATCTTGTGGGCTGTGCGCGCACGATCGATTCGGCCCTATCGCGCCCTTCATCTCGCCCTCTTGAGAATGGGAAAACTCCCTTTGTGAAACGCTATTCAGACAACGCTGTGCAGTGCGGATGGGCTTTAAGATTTCCTGTATGATAGCCATCACCGCATGCACCGATGTTTGCCCGATCGGCTCTTTCCTGTATGTTTATATATTTCACCGGCGGTTCTTTTTTAAGAGACCAGCGCTACGTTCCAGCCAATAGTTTGCTCAGATATTCCTGATGAATGCCAAAATAGCGCAAGAGATTTTAAGTGAATCCTGACGTCACAACACTCGGCGAACCTCACGATGCATGGCACAAAACTAAAGCTTTTTGAGCACGGACTGAAACGGCTCAGCACCGCAACCTCGTGAACAAAGAATTGCGAATTAGGCTCGGGGAAAACACAATTATCTCGTAAAAACCGAAAATCGAGTTGAGGCCACTTACGGGCGACAAGAAAAGCCTTGGCGACCTAAGAATCGGAAATATTTCTAAGACCACCTGTAATTAAATTGTCCACAACAGCGCAACTGCGTAATGATGTTTGGTTGCTTTCGCACGTGACGAATTCCCCTCGCGCGCGAACTGCTCCTTCGCAAGAAATTTTTCCTGACTCGCGGAGGTTTGTTTACTCCGACGAAAAGAAAGATTCATAATTTCAATTAAAGTGTTTACCGTCATGAAAGAAAAATCTGTATGAAGCCATAAAAGAGACCTGGAGGACAAAGGAAGTTCGTTTAAGCCTTTTACAATGCCAACGATACGAAACCTATAAATGAATTCTGTTGTTCGCTGCCTTGAGGCCTCGACGCAATACAAAGTTCAAATTATCTTGCCAAAAACGACGTTTTTCCGTTGCACTTTCGATGGATAGGCTGGGAAAAACAATACGTTTGTCCGCCATGGTTACTTTGGAATGAAAACGCTACTGTTACGAATCTTTTCCTACGATTTAAGAGTTAACTAGCACAACGCCCTTGTGAAAACAAAGCAAGTGAATAAACTAAGCACTGAACCTCACAAAGAATCGCATGATTTCGCAGCTTAAAAACCCAAGAAACCGACAGAAACTGCAACATGTAAGCGAAACCACCGAAGAGAGCCTAGCTAAGACATCTTGTTTACCTCGAACAAGTAAATTCGCCCGCTTTCACGAACAGTACCACATCGAAGGCCATTAAAATTTCAACTAGCAAAATTGATATGAAATGCGTGTACTTACGAAGACGAGCAATCTCGCTTTTATCGTCTGCCCTTCGTTGATTGAGTTCAACCGTCAACACCACAATCCAAAAGCTTAATCCCAAGCAACTTTTGCCCTGGTCGACAAACTTTCCCGCACGACTTCGCCGCACCACAAACAATAGTGGACCAAGCGGGTTTCACAGTCATACATAACAAGAAGGAAGCGAAATGTTTTGCAATTCACATTCGCAAAGAAATTAGCATCTATACATATACATGGTTGTACGTAAATACTTGAGGAGTGTTTAAGTTTATATTTGAACGGCCGATCAGTAGGTCGCTGAATCCGACTTTATAGCGGTCGGGATTTTGTAGAAGAAAAGGGTTTATAAAAAAAAATGCGGAACGAAGGCAAGTTCAGTTCACGACATGTTGCGTTAAGTTGAAGTACTGAAGCGAACAAGAGTTTCCGAACAAAACCCAATATTACCATGATTCTCCATTGTTTTAGGTTAAAAAGCGAGTTTATGACTTCAGACTTTTTATAGGCGGTCGTAGCAGTCCGTTGGAACACTTTGGTTCCGTTGCAGTTGTTGAACTCAAGAAAACTGAAAGACGGTGACATGCTCAAGTTTAAGAATGACATTTCAGCAGTCTGAAGCAGAAGTTTCCTTATTAAACTTGAATTCTTTGTTATTACACTTGCGTCATTTGAACTTAGTCTGTTTTGTCGGTTATACGCGCACGATAGAAGCTTTCAAAAGAATTGTGGTGTTGTGGCAGAACAAACGGTTCTCGACTGAATTTCTTTCATCGGTGAACTAGTGTGGACCTATCCGCCATTGTGTTTAACAGTTTGCTGAAAGAAAACAATAATAACAGGGAAAATAATTAAAATTACTTGTATCTTTGGCTTCAGTCATGATAAGTATTACAATTACTGAAAGTGAGATCGTTTAGAATAGCTTTAGTGCATGAATTTAAGGAGAAAAGTTGGGAAGGTTCGAATTAACGATAAGATCAATATTTTTGAGCCTATGATCTCTGTGATCTTTGCAGGTTTTTTTCAGTTTTTCAGTTTGCGGATTAGAGATGTAAGTCGTTCCTTAGAGACGGTTAAGTTTCACACACAATTTGTGAAAATTCTTGTTCAATGGAAGTGTAAAACTGATAAATACTATACGTTTGATGCTGTATCACTTAGTTATGTTAATGGCTTTCATTTTGGCATCATCCTAAAAACGTATTGTGCATTTTAAGATAAGAAAAAAAAAAACTATGGACAAATTAACTGTGCACAAAAAAGGACGGACGTTAAATTATAAAGTAAAAAAATAGGAGTGGGTGTATCTTTAATTTATCAAGCAAACGACCATTTTAAACAAGGAGCCGCCAAATAAAAATTCCCCGCCGCGCAGGTTGCAAAACTCAAAGATTCACCGGGCTCCAACCACAGTGAATCGGTAAACATAAAAAAGAGGAAAAGTCATTTCTGATTTAATGAATTTCCTAACTTTCGTCTCCGGAGATGGCCGCAAATCTCCCGAAACAGGCCGCCAAGTTCTAGACAATTCGACGTCAGTTCTAAGATTGCAAGCTCTCGTGCCCAGCAAGAGCGCATTCACAAAACAACGTCGTTTCTTTTCTTTTGCGAAGAACGACAGGCAGTGGGAAAACACCGTCTGTTAATTCAAACGGTAAAGTAATTTGCTTGACTTAACGATGATAGGAGAGAAAAAAGAGAGATATTTAACACCATGAATTAAAGACCTTTCTTGATGGCACGTGTCGATGTTCTACCGTTTGCGCTCTTTTCGTTTCATATTCGCGCGCTTAAAAAACTCGTAAAATCGACATTTAAATCTCAATTTCTGATAGCCCAGTCGTGTCAAAATGTCAAAAACACGTGGGTTGGCTTAAAGTTTCGATTCGCAAAGTTAAAAGCCTGTTCAACTCGGGAAACAATCAGTGTCCGCGAAGGAAGGGTCAGTATTGATTTCAGCGCTTTTAGAGAGCGGTATCCATTGATTTGTCAAGCCGAGGCCAGAAAGTGAGAACTTTTAAACACAACTTGTCATTTGCTTCACAGGTGGTCACGGGTGCTCGGTTGCTTGACAAACAAAACGAAATTGAATGACAACGCGAACACAGGAACTAAATACGACAGCAAACATCGCTCACAGAAAAAAATGCGTGTTTAATTAGCAGGCTTTCGCTAAAGACCCCTAATACGTGTTTGATAGAACTGGAAGTGTAGTGTTTCGCGTCCGTGAGATCCATTTAAAATGCATATTTCATTTCACTAATGCAAGCATTAAACTGTTTAGGGGCAGGCAAAGTTAATTCAATGGCTGGCTGCGCGCCGGTTTGATTAACATAATGTACTTTTATTTCGAAATATAACCCTGGTGATATTTTCGTGCAGTCATATCAGGGAAAAAATATTTAAACACTTTGTCAGTGTTCCAAGTTGGCTTTGCTTGCTTGCTTCAGTAAACAAAAGCCCCAAAGAAAAATTAATGTTTGAGCACCGAAATGCGTTAAAATGATCCTATACAAATAAAGAACCTTTTACTGTGTAGAATTCTATGCAAGCAGAGCCTATCTTAAGCGAAATTTAATACTAAAATTACGATAGGGTTCATTGCTGAAACTGCGGACTGATTCACTTGGCAATTAATAAGAAATACTTTCGGAACCGGCTAATTTGGAAAAGGCGTCACTCTTATCTTAGTGTAGTTTAGCCGTCTTTAATTAAACAAACTAAACCACTTATGGTACAATATTGCAGCATGTTCGAGCAAAAAAAAAGACTTAATTATAGCATACGGTATATATGACTGCACGTTCTATACACGAAAGTTATTCTCCATTCTCTCTCAGTATTAATACTCTAAGTTCTGGCTTGTAACTTAACCCTACAGGTCTTTACAGCTTTCGTTTGGATAATTTGTCAATATCAGGGGTTTAATTTTCATCCAAAGACTAAATCCACAACCACCTTGTACAGCTGGCGTAACACTACCACATGAAAATACTGCTGAACATCTTCCTTTTGAATGATCACTCACTAGGGTTTCAAATACAGACTTTTATTTAGATCCACCTTGTACAGCATAATAAACAGTACCACATGAA